TTCTAGATTCAGCGAGAGAGAGAGAGAGTCCTCGTCCATTATCCGACTTTTCGTCCTTTCTCTATCATTTTTAAGGTCACCAGCCGTGCAAGCAAGAGATGAGGTTCGGATAGCAGGTCTGGGGATCCTATTTCATCGCTGATCCTCAGATCATTTCAGTCATGGGTGTTGTCGGACCCTCTTTCTCCTCCTCCATTCTTTCCGTTCAAGAATCGTGAGCACGCAAGGAACTGGTCTAACAGTTTTAGAGGTCTGATTCATGAAAGGGTGGCTGGTGTGTGGCTGTCGTCTTCTCCCCTGTTCCGTCGACCCTTTCTTTCTCCTCCTTTGTTCGTGTTTTTTTATGCTGTCCATGTGGAGGTGAGTACTCAGATCATCTTCTTTCTTGTGTTTTTTTTTACCTTGTTCGTCCGTGGCTTGTGACTGGGGAGTGACAAAAATCTTCCTCCTTTGACTGTGTTGTAGCTTGTTTGCATCGAATCCCTTCTCCCCTGTACAGCTCGTGACTTTCTTCCCTTTCTTTCTGCGTTGTTGATGTTCTGTGATGGCTGGAGATTTTTATTTCTTTCTCGTTGTAGCTGTGTGTGATTGGAGTAGTAGAAGGGAGTCTGATCATATTCAAGATTTAAGCTTTAAGAGTATGGTTTTTGGTAGCTAATTTCTCTTACTTACATTGGTTTCACCAGAAGAATAAATTGATTTAACTATCTTTGAGCTTAATTGGGAAGTTGTTGAACTTAAAATTGGTATTGAGGTACTGAGGAAGTTATTGGAATGGGAAAAAAAAAACCTTGGATTATTAGTTTCAGGGTTAATGCTTGTGAGGTGTTTGATAAAATGCGAGGACTTTTGTCTAGTTATAATTTTCTAAAAATTTCACTAACCTTTGTGAAGTCATACGTGGCTTGGGTGCTAATTATTTATAAAAGAAACTTGAATTTTGTGAAGAATGCCAATTATGAAACTATTGTGAGTTTGACTGGTATATTGCAAGCAATACTAATGATTACGGAGGTTATGTGTAGTTAGTATAATATTTGAGGCAATATTTGGAAAAAAAATATTGGATTTAAGATTTATCTATTCTACTTCCTGAATTGATTTGGCCTAGTTGTGAAGTGTGACATGTGTATGTACAATATTGAAAGGATTGATTGATTAAAGGCAGAGATTGGATTGGTTTAAGAACTTAGTGACTATGATGTTAGGGGAGGAGGGTTTATTAAATTTGAGTAGAAGCCACTAAATTTTGTATTATTGAATAGGGATTTAGAGAAAGAAATTCTTGATTAAGGTAATAAGGAAGGATTGAAGCTTTAAAGGGTAAATTTTGTGCTTGGAGATGTTGCAGGTAAGTGGATAGCGTCCTAACTGATATTTCATTAAAATCTCTTTTATTTAAATATTACATTTTTATGTAAATTCTTTTTACGACAACAATGTGATTATGAGATATTTTTTTGACTAACTTACTTTATTTCGTGAAATTATTTTACCAGAATTGATCATTTTAGTTAATCAGTAAATACAAGTTTGAATTTTAATTGTGGGATTTCAATTTGAAAATTATTGAATTGTTACGGAAAAACGATTCATGCGAGTTTGAAGTTGAAAGTCTTTTTTTTTATAAATGCAAGCATGAGCATTGGATATAAAATTTGATTCTGGCAAGTTTTAATGCTTAAAAGTATTCATGCGAGTTTGATTTTGAGAATGAGAACTGTATCTTGAAAGTGATGATTTTCTTGCATGTTTGAAAATGATTTTAAAAAAGGGACTTTATGTAGAACACTGGTTGCTAACGGCAGTTCCGTTAGCCCTTGGCGCGCCATAGTACACCTAGCTAGCAGGGTGTGTATAGGAGGTGCTAGCCCTGTGCGATGGCCAACACACATGGAACGGAGGGATGGTTATTCGTGAGCATCATACTCACGTTTGTTTCATGGCTTCGGCTGCGTTTGATTACGTACCCTCGTAGACTATGTGTTCACGTTTGTTTCGTGGCTTCAGCTGCATTTGGTTACATACCCTCGTGGGCTGTGTGTCCACGTTTGTTTTCGTGGTGAGAACCGCATTTGGTTATTTACCCTCGTAGACTGTGTGTCCACGTTTGTTAATGGTTCTGATAAGTCCCTATTATATGAATTTGATTATTTGATAATCTTACATCCCACTGGTTTTAAATAGTGAATTATTTATAATTATTGATTTTGTTATTTGCTTACTTGCAATCAAGTGATAATAATATTTATTATGAGATTTAAACTGTTCGAGATTTTATTTAAAATTTTATAGAATCATTTTATTTCGAAGTTTATTAAATTTTTATAAAAATCGTTGCTTCTTTAAATTACATAATTGTTTAATTTTTTATATTCAGTTATTTATTATTGGGACGTTATTCACTTAAAAAAATTTTTGGTCTCAAATAGCATAGCGGACCTTGTATCTCCATTAGATCCTTGAAGGCATTTTACTTCGGGACTGAAGTTGAGACACCATTTTGGTTAATTTCTATTTTGATGTAAATTCATAATTTATATATTGTATTTTTATAAATAATGTTTTAGGTGCTCCACATAGATTATAATTAAAGTCCTAATTTTATATTGTGCTGTTTGATTGTTGTCGAGGAGAGGAGCTCTCTTTTATTGAGTTGATGTCATAGATTGGGATGAAATATTTTTTGAGGTTCTATGTTTACGAGGAGGTTTTGTTAAAAAAAAATTAAGAATCTTTTATTTTATTTTATTTAAAAAAAATGTTACAATAATTTTCTATCCTATTTTGAATGAATTAAAATATTATATTAAAGTTTCCTTAATCAAGGCTTAAGGGATATATGTTTATGCATATATCTTGCCGGTCACGTCTAATTTTTAGGGCGTGACACTAATGAACTAAAATTATCAAATCTGATAAAATAATTCCATGAAATAAAGTAATTTAATCAAAATATATATATAATAATCACATTGTTCTTATAAAAAGAATTTTCATAAAAATGTAATATTTTAATAAAGGAATTTTATTGAAATATCAATTGGGATGCTATCCATTTACTTGTCAAATTTCAAAATTCAAAAAGTCACTCCTCTTCAGCCTTTACCAAGTTCTTCCCAACATCCTATATAAAGATAAAAAAATTTAATGGCTTATGCTTGAATCAAACAAAATACCTTTCAAAAATCAACTCAACCAACCTTTAACAATAATAACTTAAGAGTTTTAGGACCATAATTTATACATAAAACTTTCCTCATAATTTTCAACTTTAGCTAATCACTTGACTAAAATACAATATCCTCTTAGGCTTTTTGTCAAGCATTTAGTATGCAACATCTCTAAACCATTCACTAAAACTTCCTAATTCTCAAACTTTACTCAATAATTTCCAAACACCAATATCTAAATTTATCATACTTTTTAAAGTCAACATCCATCAAAATCAAGTTTAAGTTCAAGGAAAAGCAACTCTAAATTCTTCTTCTTAAAATAACCAAATCAATCAAGTGAGATAACCTATTAAAGATAAGCTCTATCAATATATAAAAATTTTCACAATTTCCAGAGAGTAAAGAATCTCCTTATGTAGCTTTTAAATTTCCATTTTGTCAACCATATAATTAACTTACAAACTCAAAGGAAACCAATCAAATCAAGATTTCAAAGATCCATGCCTTCAACAGATAAATCAATCTTTAACTCCAAAAATATTAAATCCTCATTCCCACATTACTCATGGCAGCAGAGAAAGGAGGAAGAAATTTTCAATATTTCAACCTTCAACACGAGTATTCAGCAACAGGGAAGTAAAGGATCAAAGTTTATTACCTCAGACCATCAACAACACAAACAAGAGGTAATTCACGATAAAGAACAGAGGAGAGGAAAAATCTGGATCCATTAAGCAACTACACATGCGAAGGACCATAGTCGACATCGACAAGGAGATGAGAAAGTATCTTCAATGCTGATTCTGGCCAGCGCTCCTATGGTGTCACACCTAGTAGAGCAACGAAGAAGAAATAAAGATTCAATGCTTCCTGCAGCTACACACACTCGACAGCAGCACTTGAATAAGGACGAAGAAGAGCGACGTCACAGGGGAAAGCCAAATGACTAACAGATCGAACATTTTATGCCCATGAACCAGCTCTCGCATTACAAAATAGAGGAACATGCAACACGACTCTGATAAAGGAGAAGAAAGAATAGTCGGTGATGGAGGGCAGAGGGAAGAGCAACGCGAACAGAGGAGGAAGATTAGAGAATCCATTGACCTAACCCACTGTGGCCAACGAAAGTCAACAAAGAGGAGAATAGCGGACGAACTGATGGTGATGGGAGGAGGAAAATGCGACGAGGAAGAGGAGAAGAGCAGTGAAGAACAATCGCGATCCCTCTCCCTCTGAGCTCTCCCTCTTAAGTCATCAGCAAAGCAACGAAGAGATAATAAAATATGAAGCTTATGGGGAAATTACAGCAAAAGACCCCATCAGATTTTATTATTATTATAATATTTTTTATAACAAAAGGTAAGTGTATATCCAGTAATTTCCCTATGAAAAAATAAAACTAACATATTTGATCTAAGTAAAATTCAAACTCTAGACTTTCATGTAAATAACCTGTATAAATTCAACCAAGCTACTACTCCTCATTTGTCATAAAATTAAAATAATTAAATTAAATATTAATTGGGAGAGAATTTATTTAATTTAAAATTTAATATCATTATATTCCTACTGGATCAACATTCCTTTTTGGTAAAATATTTTCAAAATTAATACAAGTACAATTAAAACTAACTATTATATATTTTAAATTTTACCTAAAATTCATAGGTTATTACATTGGTGGCAAGCTTTTCATACAACTACACAACTCATGAACAGCTTGCCTACTTTTAGACTGGGGGGAATCGCTCCTTATCAAAAATTGTTTGGTAAAAATCCTAATTATAATAATTTGAAGGTATTTGGTTCTGCATGTTATCCTTGTCTAAGGGCTTACAATCAACATAAACTTCAATTTAGAACCATTAAGTGTGTATTTATTGGGTACATCAAGAAATGTAGAATTTAATGAGCAGTTTTTTTCCTTTTGCAAAAGGGTTCTTGAATAAGAAAAAAGTACTTGAGTTTGAAGTACATCCACAAGAACTTTTCAAGAGCTTTATGGGTTCTTTGCCATCTCCTTGTTCTCCTTGTTTTGCTAGAGGTGCTTCCATTGTCATCTCTGAACTAGAACGTCAAAATGTAGCAAATAATGAAAGTGTAGCTGGTCAAGATAATATTCAGATTCAACAGTCATCTGGTACACACTCTGGCATAAGAATTGAAGAAATTATGGACTCACCTGAAGCACAGAATGGTTCTTCCTCTCAACTTGATTCCAATCTCAATAGTTATGCTGTAGATTCCAGCTCAGTACCTATTGACAACAATCAAAATCAATATGGGCAGCATGATAATTCAGCAACTTCTATTCCAGAATGTGACAATCAAAATATATATCAAATGATAACTATAAGCAAGACTGGTATTTCTAAACCAAAAACACCTTTTGTAGGATTAGTTACAACTGAAAGTAACTTGGTTACTAAGCCACATAGTTTTCGAGAGGCATTAGAGTCAAGTCTTTAGAGAAAAGCTATGGCAGAAGTAATTTAATGCAGTTATTAAGATCAGACCTGGGTCTTAGTTCGTTGCACAGTGAAGGAAAGGCCAGTGGACTATAAATAGGTCTTTAAGAGCAAGTATGGACCATATGGTAAGTTTGTAAAACCTAATGCACGTTTAGTGGCTAAAGGGTATCAACAGTATCCTGGTGTTGACTATACTGAAACATTTAGTCTTGTTCTCAAACCCTCCACTTTTAGATTTGTGTTAATTGTTACTATTAGTTTCAAATGGCCTATCAAGAAGATTGACATAAATAATGCTGTTCTCAATGGGTATTTACAAGAGAAAGTTTTGATGAAGCAACCGATAGGATTTATTGATAAGGATATCCCAATTATGTCTGTTTGTTGAACAAAGCTATTTATGGCCTAAAACAAGCTCCAAGAGCATGGTTTGAGGGATTGAAAAATACTCTTTTAAAGTGAAATTTTATTCACTCTAAGTGTGACAGCTCACTATTCTTTTTTAAAACTAAGCAAGACATATTGTTTTGTTTTGTTTATGTAGATGATATCATAGTCACAGGGAATAATTCTCACTTACTGAACCTGTTCATCAGAGAGTTAAATGCAAAATTCCCTGTCAATGATCATGGTGACTTATGTCACTTTCTTGGCATTGAAGCTTCTTGAGATACTAAAGGTTTATATCTTAAGCACGAAAAATATACATTGGAGCTTCTACAAAAATTTGGCATGGCAAATTGCTCTTTAGGACCCATACCCATGGTGGTAAATAAAAACTTCTCTTAGTGATGGAGTGCCTATGTCAAATCCTATAGTCTATTGACAAGTAATTGGAGCTTTGCAATATTTGATAAATACAAGGCCTGACATTATGTACTTGGTTAACAAACTTAGTCAATTCTTATAGGCTCCTACCGATAAACATTGGCAAGCTATAAAAAGGATACTACAGTACTCAAAGGGTTCATCTGATCTTACTCTTCACATCAAACCTAGTGATTACCTTTGTTTGCAAGGTTTTTCAGATGCTGATTGGGCTACATGCATTCATGATTAGAAGTCCTTTAAAGGTTACTGTGCCTTCTTTGGAGAATCCTTAATCGTGTGATCGAGCAAAAAAATAGAGAGTTGTTGCATGATCAAGCACTAAATTGTAGTATCAATCTCTAGTTGATTTAGCAACGGAACTTGCACAGCTACGGTATTTGTTCTTTGAGATTGGATTGAAGCTTCAACAGATTCCGATTGCATAGTATGACAATATGAGTGCCATGGCCCTAGCTTCTAACCCTGTTTATCATTCTAGAAGTAAGCACATTGAACTTGATGTGCATTTTATCAGAGATTGGGTGATGAATGGAGATTTAGTAGTTTAGTATGTACCTTTATCGGAGAATGTTCCCAATATCTTCACCAAGGAGATGACCCACACACATTTTCTCAGTTTAAGAGACAAATCCAGGCTGTCCAAATATTCTGCCTCCCGTTTGAAGGGGAGTGTGAAGAAATTAAAGAAGCCCAATTAGCATAGAGCCCAATATCTACCCAGACCAAGCCCATCATGAACACTGCAGTATTTTTATTGTTTTTTATTTCTAATTCAGTATTGTTTATTCTTTATTCATTAGAGAAACATGATTCTTATTCTTGTATTCTAGGGTACCCTACATCTATATATTGTAATAATGTTCATCGGGCCTTGTGCACCTCTTTCACATAATCCCTATTTTGCTATTTTATTATCTGTCTGGATCAATGTAAATGTCATTGTTGCTGCTGCTACGTCCTTCATCCCTTATTTCTCTTGCCATGTCCCTCTCAGCATCTTCTCTACACAGCATAAGCCAGCCACACTTTCTTATTTTAAATACTAACTTCTTTTTAACCATGTTCCATGTGAAAAATAACATTTGAAGCTCATTTATAACAATAGAGGAACTACGAATATACAAAACACAAAGTTGATGACGATACTAATATTGTTATATACAATAGAAACGACACACATTTGGAAATTCTTCTTTGAGAAGTCTACAAGTCTACCAAGCTACATGAAACTCATCAAGGTGTGCCAAATCATTTTCAAACACTAAACATATGGCTATGCCCTACCATTCACTTGAACGGCAATCATTAGGTATATTTATTATGAATGACACATTTTTTGCGATCACATTGTGAGGGACTTCTTCTCCACAAAAATAGTTTTGATTGTGAAACCATGATGGCACTTCATCACCTAGAATAACTAATAACTGAGAAGGTTGCACAAGGATACAAAGTTATGGCATAAATGTTTGAGTTAGATATGTACAATATATTAATGTGTATATAATAGCAAAATTAGACAAATCAAATATATTAGAAATATAATTCAAGGGATTTGAATAACTCACAATTTGTTCATCCGAAGTAACAATTTGTGGAGTTGAAGTTGTAAGAGCTGACACACGACATAAAAATGCAATTTTAAGCTCTTGAAGTTGAAATGAGACTTCACTGAGTTTGAGAGCCTACAAGAAAAAATTTGCCAAGTTAGAGGAGTACAACAACAAATGTGGGAAGGGGTATATATATATATATATAATGACGTCAAAACAAATAAAATAAAACTGAGATTGTAATGATTCAATCAATTCCCACAGTTGCTGTGAATGTGCATAGTGTTTCATGGATGGGAATTACTTGTGACTATAGTTGATACGTTTGATGGAAGTTGTGGCAAAGATTGAAGCTTGGGGCAATCAATGAAAAGGATGCATTCAATCTTAAAAATATTGGAAATGAGGCCAGAAGGCACGTCAACAAAATTGTTTCCACTTAGATCTAAATATGTCAATGATGTTAACTTGCCAATGTCATGAGGAAGTGATCTGTCATGGGGATTGCAATAAGGTAATTTTAATTTTCCCAAAGACCTTAGACTTGATAGGGTAGGGGAAAACATAAAAATTGTTGAACTTGAAGATCTTTGAAGTCTAAATGCCCACTTGATAAAGCGATTCTGTGATGAAGATTGTGCTAGACCATTATTGCACACACCAAATGATAACACTTTTAACTTATTCAATGACGAAGGAATTTCATTTATTGCAGTTCCACCACATCAAGCTCTTCCAAATCCTTATTTTCTTTCAAATTCTCTGTTAGCCTTGAAATCTTTAAGCAACCAGAGATATTGATAATTTTTTGTAGCTTTCAATTTATGAATGTTATTTGGAAGGCAAACTAGGTCTTTGCAATTCTTCAAATTTAATATAGTAAGGCCAATCAAATTGGCCAATGAATTGGGTAGCTTGGCTATAGCAGTCCCTTTTAAATCAAGCACCGATAGGCGATCCATACCTTTTGCAAACTTAGGAAGCTGTGTAACTTTCAAACAACCCGACAACACAAAAATCTCTAACTAGTTTATCTCAAGTTGGCTTGGAAGTGTTTTAATACTCTTGCAATATTTCAAACTAACAATGATAATATTCTTGTGTTTTCCAAGAGAGGGGTGAACTTGAACAAGGTTTGTACACCCTTCAAGAATCAATTTTTGGAGATGAGGAATTCCATCAAAATTTGGTGTTTTGATGAGGCATTTTGAGTGACTCAAGTCAATGGATTGAAGCCTTCATAGAACCTAAAAGAAGAGAAGAAAAGGAAAAAAAAAGTCTTTAAAAACAAAAGCTTGTTGCGAATGTATTAAATTACAAACCACAACTTAAATAATGGAGGGTGATGTTAATCACCTGTGTTCCTCTTCAAAGTTGTGTTAACCTGCTATATTGCATTTTAAGATCAACAGGTTCATTCAACTCAATCTTACTTGGTAGAACATCTAAAGGATAACCTTGCCATCTAGCACTTTTAACGAGCTTAAAATGAATTTCAGTCCACGAGGAAGATTCAATTGGCAATGGGAAAATTGTGAAAGACTTGATATGATAAGTAAATTGAGATCACTCAACTTTAAAAAGGCTTCAGGATTCCAAATTGCATCTGATTATTTCTCCAGTGCTAAAGCTATACCTCGAATTGCTTTTGTCCCCTATAAAACAACAAGCCAAGCAAATAATAGTATGGAAGTCATGGTAAGAATTACTAAGTAAAGAGTGCACAATCACCGTAAAAGACAATAGAAGAAAAGAAATGAGCATTACGTTATTTCTTTCCAGTACATGATTAGCATCCTCTAAACACAATATCCTACTACGTTGGCCAGCATCATTGGGTGATTCTTGAACAACAATATTCTTACCCATTTCTTGAAGCATTTGATGCATCCTCAAAAATCTTCCATCATCAATTAACAATGACTTGTCAAAGAGAGCTTTTATTCCAATTATTGGGTAAGGGTCACAATTTTGTAAAATCTGTATGACATAATCTTTTGCCATCCCATTGAAAAAGCAAGCAATATCTAAGAATATAGTTTTCTCATCGTCTTCTAATCCATCAAAGCTCACTTTAAGTATCTTCAAAATGTCATTTGGAGGAATCTTCTTGAACTTAGCTAGTGCGTCCTTCCATTGTGAATAGTTCTTCCACAAAGAAATGATCCTTAGACTTTAAGTGCCTTAGGGGGGCCTCCGGCATATTTAATCACGGCTCTAGATAGCTCAAAGTAATATTTGTTTGGATAATCTGCTTTAAAATCTTTTTGACAAAAAAGTTGAAGGGATTCAACATAAGTTAAGAAATTGATCTTAAACAGAATAGATACCCCATGCAATAATTATAATAAATGCTTATCTCTAGTAGTAATTATTATTTTACTCCCATGCCCAAACCATCCTTTCTTTCCAGCCAAGTTGTCAAGTTGGTTTACATCACTCACATCGTCAAGGACAAGTAGAATTTTTCTATTGCAAAACATGTTCTTATCAACTTCCTTCCTTCAAAACAGTCGCCCACTTCCATTCTTTTATTCAAGCAAGATAGAAATATTCCTTGCAAGAAAGACAAACCATCTTTTTTGCCTACCTCTCTGATATTATGAAGAAAGCAATGAACTTCAAAGTCTGTGTGCCTTTGCTCCAAAAAAAAAAAAATCTAGCAAGAGTAGTCTTACCTAAACCTCCTGTGCCCCATATTCCTATAAATTGAGTTTCATCCCATTCATTTGCTACAACAGAGTCCAATTCTGCCAACTTTTATTCAATTCCAACTAACATATCAGAATCAAATGGAAGTTTGGTACGTAATTTTGACATCAGCTCTTCGGCAATATTTTCAATTAACCCAGTTTCACGCCTACAAAGGAAAATAAAATGGTATCATCACTATTTTAGTCGATTCAATTCTAAACTTTATGCATAAACTATATAAAATGTCATGTGAGGTCCTTTTCATTAATTTTGAGATTCTTTTTTATTATTTTTTATTCAATTAATAGTCAAAGTTAACTTTTATTAATGACAAGAATTAAATTGTACTGTTTTCAAAGTTGAAGAGGAACATTATATAAAAAATGAGTTTAGGGTTCTAAACGGTCATGAACATATAGTTTAGGGGTTAGTTTACTTATTTATCCAAATAAATATTACCTCTCTTAAAAAATACTTTTTTTTTCTGACCATCCTCTTAACGAATGCTTTAAGAAAGGAAGGAAATATTTTTGACCGAAATGTTGCATTACGTATAAGATATTATGATCATGTAGATCTCATATATATATATATATAACAAATTTAAAATATCAAATAACAAGAAGTTCGTACCGAAATCAAATGATTATTAGTCCTTTATAATTGAAAAAAAAATATGTCAGATCATTAAATAAGCCGCTTGGGAATAGAGTTGTCTTCCCATGGTTTTTCAATGAAATTTAAACAGTGGAATCCATGTAATTGAAATTAATTAATGGCTTAAAAGAGTTATTAGTTGTTATTTTCCCATATAACATTGTATGATAACCTTTCTATTATTTTCTGAAAAATACACTTTAGTCCAATCTCTTATCATTATTAGGAATATTCCTATAAAATAATAATATAATATTTGTTCATTAAAATTTATATCAAAATAAGTTTTAGGAAAAATGGCCGTTAAGGACCTCATAATACCATTAATTACAATTAGGACCCCGAATTATTGAAATCCCAATAATGGACCAGCATGAGTTTAAAATCAAGAAAGGACACTACTAAAATTACTATTATGAGTTAGCACTATTGTTAATCTCATTAGGAAAACTAGGACTCACACTTGGAATGAAATTAACAATAGTCAAAACCTATGATAGTAATTTCAATAGTCCTAACCCATAATAATAATTGGGATTCTAGCTTTCCCAATTGAGATAAATAATAGTATTAACCCATGATAGTAATTTTAGTAATACCTTGTCTTTATTTTTCAAATGATTTATCTATATATTGACAAGCTTAAAAATTCATAAGTGATTGGCTTCATATTCACAAGTATATTTTGAAAGTTTCATAAGTGAATTTTAGTTCCACACTGAGAAATAACCCATTTTCAAGTATGATTCCTGATTTTTTAACTAAGACTAATAATACTTCTAACTTATAATAATAATTTAGTAGTGTTTTTACTTAATTTTAAACTCTTTTTTTTTAATTCCAAGTAAGAATTATGGTCTGCTATTAGGATTTCAATAATTCAAAATCTCTAATTGTAAGTAATGGTATTGTGGAGTCCTTAATTGTATTTTCTCTAATGTTTTATTACTTGTCAACCACTCATGAAAGTAAATTCATAATTCATTTAACAAAATTTTTTGATACAATCTAAACTATATTACTTTATAATCTAGTAAAAAAGTCAAAAGACATTTAAAGCTAGTGTTTGAGTTTAAAAGATCACTAATTCATAATATTTTAACAATGGTTATTTCGGACTTTTAATGTTGGTTACTAAAGAAAAGTAAAAAAAAAAAAGGAAAGTAGAAAGTAAATTTTCAATGTTAGTTATTTAACCGATGTTAAAAATCCTTTCCACATCGATTATATACCTAACCAATGTGGAAAGTCAAAAAAAAAAACAATTGAAATTTCCTTTAAAAATCAACTTTTAACGATGGTTTTTTTTTTTAAACTGTTGTTAAAACTATTTTTAACCATTGTTATTTAGGATAATCGTTGTTAAAAGTCATTTTCAACAATGGTTCTTTTAAAATAACCATTGTTAAAATATTTTTAATAACAGCTTTCAACAATTGTTGTCAAAAAGTTCTTTTTTAAAAAACAATTATTTGTTTTTCTATACATTCAAAAATTAAAAATGAAAATTATATAGATTATACAGCAAGTATATACAGCCAGCCAGTAGAACCACAATTACTATATAGCAAATTACAACTATACTATATATTTGTTTAACTATTGAAACTATAGAGTTTGTTCAACCTCTTCACTTTGAAAAGTATTTTTGGAGAAGTTGTTGAGCCAAAATATCTCGAATGCTGTTAATCTTTTCTTCATTATAAGGCTCCATATTATCAAAAATTTAAATAATAAAATTAATCAGAATAATAATTTAAGGAATTAAATACTATAATTTGAACTAAAATAACAAAACCAAATATCTCTTGTAATCTTTCTGTACTTAGAGCTTGAATTATCTCATACATATAACGGATAACATAATATCTATATTTTGTGGTTCCTAGTTGCCTATGGCATTGAAATAAATGGAAATTCAAAATTAAATCAAAACATGTGATGGATAATTAAATATGAAAATTAAAGATTCATACTTACATTCAGGTAAATCCATTCCACTAATGATTTTTGCTTGTATACCCCAAATGTAAACATATAATATGTCTCAAGTGTACTATTATCATTCGTAAATGAAAAAAACATTACAAAAGTATAAATATATCTAGAAGTAAAATTTTATATAGAAAACTTACTTATTGAAAATCCGTATTACTATGAATATATATGAAGCAGTGGGGAAATTGGGAGATTTAATTATATCTCAAGTAAAAAAGTTTAGACATTTAGAGCTATTATTCAATCTGATGGAGTAAAAATACTCATAAACTTTTACCTAGAAGCTTCTAGTATCCTTAAGTCAACAATGATTAATAGGTACCCATTAATTTTATAAAAGAGGTCATATAGTAAAGCTCAACTCTAACAACTTGAGCTTCTAAGCTTATTCGAGTTGGGTTGAATATTCAAATTTTAAAATATTATTTTATTTTATTTTTTTAATCAATTTCTATTTCTATTTCTATTTTAAAAATGAAGATTTTTCAATTTTTGTCTAATTTTAATTTTATTTTATCAATAATTTTTTTTTTGTAAATTTTCACTACTAATAGTGTGTTTGGTAAAACTCTTAGGGAAAGAAAGAGAACCCTGAACTTTAAAGCAGAAGTTAAAACAAAAAAGGAATCCTAGATTTTACTTTTCCTCCTAATTATCAATGACCAAGTCATGACTTAATAGCCAAAATCTCATCTACAGGCAAATGAAAAATAAGCAGTGACTTACCAATCACAATCGATAATGAAGATGAAAATGGCCAATGGATCAAGAGAGCGTCGATGATGGCCGGTGGAGCAAGGGACCACCACTAATTGCTGACAAAGCAAGAGAATGAATTGTCGACGGAGTAAGGGCATCGAACAGATACTTGAGAAGAGAACCTAAATGAAATAAAATAATAATAAGAAACGACTGAGATTAACATGCAATAGACAACCTAGATTTTTTTTCCTTATAATGAAACGGAGCACAGGCAAGATGAGCACCTTCGTGTACTGAGCACTGAAGTGAACCTGATTATAAAGATGCAAATATGGAGATGGTGAAAATAGAAGGAGAGATCAATATTCCAAGTTTTAGAATTTTGCCTTGATTCTTATGACACCCTTGACATTCCGCAGATTTCTCTCATCTATCTACATGATAGAGCAAGCATTCGGGTTCTCATCACTTAATATCTGGGGCAGGTAATCATACTTCTCCATGTTGAAAATTGAAGTGTAGAATTGGTATTCACTCTTCTTCATCTCCACCAACTTCATCTCTTCCGTCACCGCTTCTTCCTCCACTTTTGCTGCCGCTGCCTCTCCCTCTCCAGTTTCTTTCTTCTCCTCCTCCTTCTTCCTCCTTTTCCTTCTTCTCTTTCTCTCCTCCATCTCCTTCCTTTCCTTTCTTCTTCTCCTCCCCTTTACCTTCCTCTGCTTCCTCTTTCTTCTCTGCCACCTCTTGCTTCACTATTACAGCCTGCTTCCTTGTTTGCTTCCACATGAACTCCACCAACTTCGCCAAATCAAACACTCCCTTAACGCTCACCTCAAACTTCTTCAGATTCCACCGATTCCAACCCTACAAATTATTTTCACCCTATTAGAATGCAAACCTTCTATTTCACATGCCTCTTTGACTTTAAGAAGAAAGCAACGAACTTCAAAGTCTTTATACTTTTGCTCATAAAAAGTTCTTGCAAGAGTAGTTTTACCTGAACCATCTCCACCCCATATTCCTATAAATCGAACTTCATCCACATTTTCTAAATTCAAGTTTGCAAGGTTTGATCAAATTCCAACTAATCTCTGAGAGTCAAATGGAAGCTTATCATATATTTTTGACCTCATTTTTTCAATAACATCTTCAATGAGTTTTGTTTCATGATGCCTGCAAAGGAAAATAAAGTAATGCCTTTAACATTAAGTCAATTGAATTTTAATTTATATAAACTACAGTAGTTAACGTGATATAAAGAAAACATGGTCACAAGGGTAACATTTTTATTTCAACTACGTAACATAAGTTAACCTTGACATACATTTGTCATGTATTTTTAAAATTATTGTAATGCAATATCAAATAGCTGGGTTTGTGACAGAAAAAGAATAAATTATATTCTTGTCATCAGCCTTATTTTTAAACTTACAATTATTTTTCCTCTTATTTGTTTTATGATAGGACCAATCAATTATGAAAGCTACACTCAAAACTTGGGTTCCTAATTGTTTTTGGTGAATGTTACTAAATTGCCTCCCCATAATTTTCTTACAAACTAGATTATGAATAATGATTTGCAAGAAGTTTGAGATGAATCAATTTAATCATGATTTATAGATAATTTGAATTTTCATAGATTTTGTATTTGAATTTTATGTAAGGAAAAACAGTTTTTTTTTTTTTTATCTCTAGAGTTTTGGTCAATATAGGTCAAGGTTACTATAGTTTTTTTAATTATTTAAGAAATCAATCTATAACATTATAGTCAATTTCGGTCAAAATCTCTATTGTCATCAAACATCATTGGTACTTAAGGACGTGATCTACCGAGACATTGACCAAAGTTAACTATAAGACTTATTTCTTAAGTGATGAAAAAAAAAAAAACTTTAGGACCTCAATGAAAGACCAAAACTCTAGGGGGAAAAAAATATGTTGTCCCTATATATAATCCTATTACAATATAGCTAACAACAATTTTCAAATATTTTAAATTAATTAATACACCCACCCTTGATTAATATTCATTTTTTATAATTACACAAATATGCAGTACACAAATCAAAATGAAAGGAAATATTCTTCATATCCACACCCTTAATATTATTTTAAAAAGTATTCACGATAATTATTGGAAGTTCAATAAATTACCAATTGTCAGAGTGCCAGCCCGATAAGTTAGCAACTTCTTTCAAAGCATCCCTCCAATTTTGAACCTTCATCTTGTCTTGTGGAAGTTTTTCTTCATGCTTCTTAAATACTTCTGGAAAACTTCCTCTTTGATGCCGAATATCAGATGGATCCACATCATAAAAGATTGGAAATATATGAAGACCCAACTCTTTCTTACAATGAAGAATCTTTGAGAGCTCTTCTAAGCACCAGGTTGATGAAGCATAATTTGGAGAGATAGCAACAATTGCAGAAAGAGATTCTTCAATTGCTTGGAGCCGACTTGGTTTAATAACTTGTCCCCTCTCAAGTTCTTCGTCATCCCTGAAAGCTTTAATTCCCGTGCGTTGCAAAGCACAAAACAAGTGATCTATAAATCTTCTACGAGTATCTTCTCCTCGAAAACTCAAGAACACATGATACTTCCATCTCCTAGCCGAACCAGAAGAGCTTGAAGGGTAGTCAACCTCATGCTCTTCAAGTGCCATAGCAACAATTTGAAAGCCCAACCATGCAAACTACAAATACATCCATCAGCATCCAGGCATAAAAGAGAGAAAATAAACATAGAAAGAAGAAAACTTCAATTAAATGGAAGCAGAATCTGTGCACATATTCTTTCTCGTTGACTTTGGATGTTTAAAAAAAAAAAAAAAAAGCGAAATCTCACAGATCCGAACCGTTCAGTTCACAGAATGAATCTAAAACGGAGCAGGGAAGAAAGTAGAAACCTGAAGGATGAAGTAATGCGGAAAGATTCGTTGGATTTGGAAGTGATGTAAGATGAAGTTGAGTGGGCTGCTACAAATTTCGGAGCAAGAAAAAATGGAGAAAGAATGAGAAGCAAAATGGAGAGAGTGAGCGAAATGGAACTCTTGTGTGCATTGAGTTAAGATGAAAGTATAATAATACCCTCAAGTCTCAACAAGCAGTCACGAGCTCAACTGGAAGTCCAAGTCTTCTCTCAAGTCATTACGCGTTTATCCCTCAAACCGTGTTGCGGACATCAGTGCTCCTTTAATTTTTGCAGAATGAAAGGACAGAACCATGTGATGTTGCTTTTCATTACTTTATGGTGTTTCTACTCTTTTACCTTTTGGACATTTATTTTATAATTTTGAACCGTGCAATGTGGATTACAATTTATTTATTTTCATAGTCAGACCTACCGCTGACGTTTAATCCATTGCTATAATTCCATTTTGACGGTGAATCCAAGCACCACCCTTCTCCTTCTATTTTTAATGCCTAATTTAAAACATATTCGTCTTTATTTAAATTCATGTGTTATGCAGCCAGTAGCTTGGGCCAGCTCCAAAAAATATTAAAGGTCAGGTTTGCCAGTTTATAAAATGTTTTTTATTTTGAGCTTATTCCACGCTTAAATGAGCCTGAAGAAATCCGGTTCAAACCAAACCTAAATGACTAACTAGCTTAAAAATTCAACTTTTTTACAATTAAATAATTAAAATTAAAATTAAAATAAGATAAAAATTTAAAATTATAATTTTTAAGATAAAAATTTAAATCAGCTGAAATTAAAAAAATAAAATAATGTTCAACAATTTGAATACTCCAATCAAATTGAAAGCTTTACGTGTTAGGGTACTATATGGGGTTTTTTTTTAATTTGATCAGGTATTTAAATCTCGATATAAATAAAGTCGGCGGGTCAAAATTACCGGTGCTAAATTCTCCATCTACGGCCATGTTGATATCGATGTATGACATGAACAAAAAAATAAATTAGTCTTTAACAAATTGCTAAAGGTGACAGATGTTTTTGTTTTTTGGGATAATATAAAGGTGACACATGTTTGTTACAACTTACAAGTCTCAATAAATTTAACTAAAACAAAATATCAATAACATTTTTCAAAAAATAAGTAAAATATAATAACCTCTCTCCTGTTTTGCTTTTCATTTTATTTTTAAAATCTAGATTTTAATTCGATTGTTAATAATATAAGAAACATTTTGTAAAATATTCTAAATACTTAAATTTTTTTTTGTAATTATGTTAAAATTTTATCCTTATGATCTAATTATCTACTCTCTCTCCCCCAATTTTAAAAAGTTTAAATACTTTTGTCAATATTTAAATAAATAATTTAAAATTAATAAAATTTTAAAAAATAAATGTTAATTATATAGAGTAATTTATTATATTAAATCCTTATTTAATTAAATTTTTTAAAAAATTATCCATTATCAAGGGACAAGCTGGGTAGGGCCACTGGTTAAGTTAATACATGCTTGTCGGTATTTAATTAAGTTTTTTAAGTGCATCTTTGAAATATTATTTTGACCAATTTATGTATTTAAATTTTAAAAAATACTATTAAATAAATACGTTTGTATAGCTAAAAATTTTATAATATAAATAAAAATAACAATATACATGCATTAATTTTCTTTTGAATTATTTAGACAAAACTTATATTTAAAGAAGGGGTATTCTAATTCAATATATATAACTTAATGGTTAACTAACGTTTGCATGAATGAAAATAAAATTTTGAAAATAAAGGGAATGTTTGTATTAAAACCAGGATATGTCTCCAAGTTCAAATAAAGCTTATAAAGGTATTTACAAATCATCCACAAATAAGGTCTACAATTAGAAGCAAGATTTGATTCTACAACTTTATATGTTATAGGTCAAAAATCTTTACCAACTAGACTAACATTTGTGAATTATGCATATTTTATTCATATATGTAGTTGTTTTAATTTATGTTATACTTTCCAATATATTTAATTAATTAGTGCTCATGTGCCTTATTAATAAATTAATGATTTGTTCATTATACATATAGTAGTATTTCTTTAATTTGCAATGGGTTGAAGTACTCTAGTTAACTACAATTGTGAAAAAAAAAAAGAAAAAAAAATCAGAACAAATTATTCACGTTGCTTTGACTCACTATGCGAGACTTTTTATTTTGAGAAAAAGAAAGTGATTTTTTATCCGAGCAAAATTACAACCGAAAATTCAGATCACGTAAAACTAAACATTTATACAGCTTTTATTTGTAACTAATGTTTCACCCGTGCAATGCACGGGTCCTCTTATAAAAATTATAATAATTTTTAATTCAACTTGTATTACTAAATGAGTTATTTAAATAAAGTTATAATAAGAAATATATTTTAAAATAATTAAAATATATGATGGTATTGCAATAATAAAAAAATTGCAATATAAATGAATTCAAAATGTGATGAATCAAGATTCAAATTCCTATTGAGAGAAGTGACTATATTTAGTTTTCGACCATACTTAAAACTGGAATTACATCAGTACTCAATCAACACATATACACATGCATTTATTTAAATATACATGTAGAAAGCATTTTCTAAATATAATAGATGTGAGTGTACTACAAAAGATATAGGCATGAAATCATAACATACACAAATGAAATACATCTAATATAATATGCAATATATCTAACAGGAATGAATGTTCAACAATTCATTTAAACATGAGGTAATATATATATATATATATATATATAGGAGGGAGGTAAATGAAGGTGTGCTTTTTTTCATCAATGAGTTGTTCAATCATAGATAATAAAATCCATGTAATACCTGAACACAGCTCTAGCCATAAATACCAACAAAACTTGGTAAAATATTCCTGAAACAAATGATGAAATTTTATGTGGATGTTAATATAAGGAAGAATATGAATAAAAGAACATAATTGGCAAGTTAATTTTGAATATTTGAAAAGGAACAATTAGCAAATATAAGAAAACGTAATATAAAATAATTATATATAAAGTTCTATGATATATTATTTAACGATGAGTCACTAATAGATGATAGATAAGAGGCAAGGTTTATATTGAGCATGTACCTTATATATGAATCTATGTCAAACCATTAAAGATTTCTTTATAAACAACATTGTTGGTTTTGTTTGTTGGTTTACCCTCTTCATCTAGAATTAAAATCTTCAAGCCACATCTACTACGAACTCGAGATATAGCAACGTACAACTGACCATGTGTAAATACAGGTCGTGGGAGGTACAATCCAACATTTGTGAGACTCTGTCCCTGGCTCTTATTAATCGTCATTGCAAAGGACAACATAATAGGGAATTGGCATCTGCATATTGTGAAAGGTAAACTTGTATCTGATGGAGTAATAGTCATTCAAGGAATTAAAACTTTTTGACCTTTTGAGATTCCTGTCATGATCTCAGCTTCAATGACATGTCTGACAAGTTTACTGACAATTAATCGAGTGCCGTTACAAAGACCAATAGATTTGTCGATATTTCGCATAAGCATAATAGGAGCCCCTACTTTAAGCTTGATTTCATGGTTAGGTAGTCCTGACATTGTTAGTGAATTCAAGAATTCTGGCGAGTGAATATCTTGTAAAGCACCTCCTATTTCATCTTGTTTGGAAACTGTGTCTGCGCTTAAGTAGCAAACTTCATCACCAGGGAGCATGGATAAAACATATTCATTGACTTCATCAACAATTGCTAATGTTGGAGCTAAGATAGCACGCTCTTGGAAATAACATGCACTATGTATATTCTGTAGCAGTTCTGGATAAGTGGAATCAACAATACACCTAAGAGGATCTTGAGTAGGATCTTGAGATAATGGAACATAGGGAATCCACTTTATTTAAATGTATAACTTATTGATGACAAGAAATAATATCATTATATAGTCAAAAATATTTGTTAAAGAAATTATGCAATCAGAAATAAATGAAGTATATAAAACCATATTTAATAAGATTAATCATTATTAGGCACCACATTTAATAAATATATAACTGACTCAAAAATGGAAAAAATTTAAAATTTATATAGTCAAATAAATATGTAACTACCCAATTCTTGTGAAATGTAAATACATGTATAGAAAAAAGCATTTATTAACAGTTAATTAATTAATTATATAAAATAAAGTTGATATAATAATTGCATTATCTCTAATAAATATTAAAATGACATGGGTATAATTTTTTATAAAACTTTTTTAAAATTTAAATACACACCAAATCTTAGTCGTTAGAAGGAATTTATATTAGGAAATTCTTTCTTAAATTAAATTCCAAAAATGTAGGGATCACTATTATTATGAGGGTATGATATATATTAAATCAAGTAACATGGGGATCATGGTATTATATTATTTTTAATAAAATACATTCATTTAATCTATTATAGTTGGCTCCCAAATTGATAATTTTATAGATAAAATTACATTAATAATTTTTTTATAAATAGCAATAATATGCTTGAATTTGAAAAACTCCCAAATTCAATCAAACATCAATCGTGGAGTCTAGGAAGTTATCGGAATTCAACCAGTCACATATAATTCAAAATTTAAAATTTAGAATCAATAACTCAAAGTGATTTGTATTAATTTAATTTAATAAAAAAATTTAACACCATGATCCCGACATTAGTTGATTATAAAATCCACTTATATATGAAAATTTAAAAATTAAAAAAAATCTAACTTGAATTGTGGAGTAACGAATTTATTGGGATATTTCCAACTAACATTTAAATCTAATCTAAAGTATAGAATCAATTCAAGTTAATTTGAATTAATTAAAATATAATTTTATATTAAATTATAAGATGTAGTCATATATATGAAATAAGAATTAAAAATTAAACTAAACCAAATCCTACAGGAATTGTGGAGTTAGGAATTGATTAGAATATTGCCAACCAAAGTTTAAATAACCATCAGAGTAGGATATTGTTGGAATGAAGGATTAATGGAATAAAATTATATTCACAGATTAAAATTAATTTTGGAAGCAGAATCCTACGTGGCTTTATAGAATCATGGTATTTGAAATATTACTAAATGGGGCAGTATTTTTCCACAGAAAAATGCTTGTTGTTCTTCCTAAAAACATAGATATGTGTCAGGTATGAGAGTTAGGAAGTTACTGTTTGAAATGC